TTAGGGCTATCAGCCGCTGGAAACTTCCAATAATAACACAAAGTAAATTATTCACTGTAATACAGCATATTGAACTAAAGTGTAAAGAAACAGGAACAGAAATGAAGATTATAAATTAATTCTAATTCTATTTTTTGCTCAAAACGGCGATTTACTGGATTTTGATTAAAGCTGTACTTACTGCCAGAGTGCATGAAAAAGGCTAAAACCATTTTTTATGCAAAGGATGATTAGGGTGATCAAACAGTTCATTGATAACGTTTGAAAATCTCTGGATTATGCAATTAAAGATGCGGTTTCAGGACAGAACTCTGAGTTACTTCATACAGAGGAAAATGCCTTAGCTTGACGTATAAGATGTGTCGATTCGAAAGGAAGAGTGACAACGTTTTTTGTCAAATGTTTCTGTTTGTTTATCCCACCCTGCTACTGCGTAACCAAACAAAATACAAATAACAGCTCAATGACCTGCGAAGTGAGGCTAACTGAGATGTAGTTATGCCAGAGTATTCTAATCTTAGCTCACTTAATGTTTTGTAAAATTCTCGGTCTTTAATGCTGCAGCATATCTTGATATTTGACTCAGCGCATATATTAAACTGTAAGCAAAGCAGCGTGTTGGAATGTCTTCAGAGGATGTTTCATCTAACACTAAAATATTAGAATTTATTGCTCTTGTACGGGGGAGGTGCTATAAGATATTATCTAGAAGCGGATACATGCTCATTCATGATTTATATTCAGTATCCGTTATACCCCTCTCCCGCTCATGAGGCATTTCCAGTGTTACATATCCTGCTCGAATCATGCAGGTTCAGTTGTCTGGACTAGATGATGTGTCAGCACTATATCCGTTGTATAGTATAGCCATTTAGTTCAGAACCAGCCGGGCGGTCTTATTTGTTTCGTTAACAGCAGAGTTCGCCTTACGAACTTCGTCTATTCTGTTCGCTCCTGCTATCTTTCGATGAAGCCTGATTTGTGCCACTTGTTTCTGAAATCACACTCTTTCGGCCAATATCCAACAATCATGATCATAAGCAAAGGCGAATGAAAGTAAATACTTTAAGACAAAGAGCTCCGTGCCTTGATTCAGCTCCTTCTTCATCGCAACAGGTGCGTGTGGTTGCTGCATTGCTGTGCTCTGGTTTCGACCTCTTGTTGATCATCGCTCGTCAATGTTACTCTGAAATATTTAAATTTCATCGTTAGATTAATATATTATTGTTATCGTATTTGCGCGCAGAAACTGATCTTATGTAAATGTGCATATTCTGTTAATTACTAGTGTTTATTGTAGGTATTTTGCATATTATGCAACTCGTAATTAGCACGATTGATGGACAGATTTTGAACGTCAACGTTTCTGAAGATATTGAACTAGAAAATCTGCTGGTCTTATGTTCTGCTGAAATCAGTTCTTTGGACGGTAGTCCTCCGGATCAGCTCGTCGCCATATCGAACGGCCGCCGCCTGATCGACCGGACTAAGACACTTAGAAAATATGGACTGTCCGATGGAGATATTATATTGGTCCAGAAAATTAGTTCTGGTAAAATTGTTTTTGTATTCAATTTGTCTTACATTCAGAATGTTACTCCTAGGAGCAATTGGCAATTGCATCTGACTGTGCATATCTGCATCTTAGTACTGGTCTGTTTTTCAGTGCTATGTGCAGTCCTCATGTATTCACTGTATACCGTTGCTTTTGGTAATTTGAAATCCTTAATATTTGAAGCGAGAAGTAAACGAACTGAGTTTCTTCAACTTAAGAAGTCATCAGCAGCTAGCAACATCCCGTAGTCTGCTTGCCACCGAATTCTTAGCTATTATTTTTTTCAAGTTCGTAGTGCCAATCTCAGGGAGTTCAGGAAGCTTTTACAAACTTTGAAACTTTACTGAAACGATATCGAAACGAAACCAAGTCATTTATTGAGTTTATTCTATTTATCAGCTGCTATATCTGTCACCTTCAGTTCGATTCCTCGGCGACGAAATTACAGGTATCAGAGTCTCTATGAAGAGACAGTGTACATTGGTAGAACCGAAGGATCGACGTTCGTTTTTTTTTCAACATTAGAACTGAAG